CCTAAAAGTTCCGTTTTTGGCCCATTCCTCCTTTAAAACAAATCTTCAGAAACACATTGTCAGACTCAGTCGGAACTACCGGCACGTGCTCATACCGTACCACCTGCCCACCAAGACAGTCCAAGAGGCGACACATCCTTCCCTACGACAAGTCTTATGGAACCACAAACGCAAGGTCACCGACCTGGGCAGACACTGGAAGCCAAAGGAATGCCAGTGCGCTCGCTTCATCAAACAGCATCCAGGAGCTCAACTACATGAAGGACATGTCGCTACAGGTCTTGAAACCCTGCAGCTACCCGCAACGCACAAGGCTTTTGCCAACGTTGGAGCCAGCAACGCCTTCTTTTCCTCCAAGCAGCGTATTAAGCGACAACATCAAGAGCAATTTCAACGGTGGCTCAAGCACCACCAATTTCCACGAGACCAACGCCTACTCGACGAGTTCGACGTCTTCTTTGAGCAGGAATGGACACAACACAAATTGCAAATCCAGCGAGAGCCAAGAATCACGCACAGACTGGCAAAAAGCATCCTGGCCATGATTCCTGACGACTACATCATACACAATGAAGACCATGCTGACGCGCACCTTATGATCTACTGCCCCACCGTCTACAACCAGGCCGCCTACAACACATGGATGGACAAGCAGACCTTCCGCATGTTAGAGCGAAGCCCTGAGCAAGTCAAGCAGGACATGCAGCGCAACACTCCCAAGGTGGTCACCAAGCACTACGCCAAGCTCCTCGCCTACGACAAGCCTCTGCCATATATGGGTACATACTTATGAAACGGAAAAAGCGATGGTCCAAAGGACGGACCATTATCGCTTACAGCAATACGTGTATCGGCAAACTGCTGAAGATCGCCGCTTTGGCACTACAGCAGATGTTGAAGGTGACGTGGCCCAACCATTTCGGCGACGTCAGTTCGCCAAACCTTTGGGAGGAAATACACCATCTCTTCCACAACAACGAGCACATGTACCCGGAGCGCCACCTGAAATTTCTCAATCACGATTTGGTCGGATTCTTTAATTCGATCCCGCAATCGGACATCCTTCAAAGCATTTACTTCCTCACTTCCCAATTCCTCGACCGCCACAACTCCACCATCACCGTCGACCCGCACAACAAGATCGCACCCGTGCACTCAGGCAAGTCCACCTATAGCCTCAAGTCCAACATGATCAAGGTGCAGGCTCAACACATACCAGCCATCATCCAGTTCAGCTTTGACGCCTGTGCTTTTACAGCCATCGGGGAGGTCTTCCAGCAAACGCGTGGGACATCTATGGGAAATCAAATCAGTCCTATCCTATCCACGTGCGCAATTGTAGCTACGGAAATCACGTGGCTAAGGATGTACGGCCAGTTCGTCAGCAACGCCCACCTCAATGACAAGTTCTGGATCCGCAGATACGTTGACAACAGGGCCATCATTGTGGATGAAGAAGAGCTCCAGAACAACCCGTACATCCAACAATTGGCATCATTGCACTTTTACAAGAAGCCTGTACAGCTTGAAGATGAAGCATGTGATGACTTCCTGGGCTTCCGGATCCACGCGGACGACAGACGGATCTATTACAACCTCCACCGCGAAGCTTGGAGATACCGTTTGCCACAATCAGCTGGAACCACAAAACTACGACTCAGCGGGTACCACAGCAGAAAGCACCTGATTCGATCCATCGCCTACCCAGCAGAAGTGGCAGAAGAACAACTACAAGAACTTGATGACCTCTACAGGGACCTGGGATTCGCGCAACTTCTACCGAAAAAGCGCAGACTTCGGCAGTACCTTTAACGTTACTTTTTACATTCTTTTGACCTTACTGCACATACGTGCTCCTAAAAGTTTTGGTTCATGAAGGTTTTCGGTTCAAGAAGGACAATGGTAGGCAGCCGTGCTAGAAAGTGCAAAAAGCAACGCACCAATGCCGCCGAAGACGACCCAATCCTCACCGACATTGACACCGACTCGGAAGCTGGGGAATACACGGTCAGACTACCACATGGACTACCCCTGGACATGAATGCGCCCAACCACCCCGCAGCCAAAGATGACCCAGTCGAACAAGAATGTGAACGCCTTCTTCAGCAACAATACATTCCCTTTACAACATTCCCATGGATGTCTACAAGGCTCAACTCGGAATTCCTTCGAGCATCTGCACTCACCCGGGCAGGCAGAAGAGCAACAGCGTACACAGTTGGCACGTACTACCACGCGGGCAGCATCGGAATACGCACTAGCACAAGGCAACGACCATGGACGGCAGCCACATTGGCATACATGGTACGAGCATGCACTCACACGGCTTTTTCGACGGTGTCCCTGTTACGCAATGTTCACATGCGTACCCATCGAGACAGATACAACAAACCAGGAAGCCTCAACGTCGTCATCCCTGTATCAACATTTAGACAAGGACATCTATGGATTGAAGAAGAACAAGGACCAGATCTATCTCCGAGCGGACAACACCGAGGACGCAACATTGAACTTAAGTTGCCCGGAGTCGAGTTCAATCCGTTCCAGCTCCACGGCACATGTCCATGGAAATCTGACAGACTGGTTGTCACAGCCTACACCACTAACCGCATCGAAGACCTTTGCAGCGAGGACAAGCAATACCTCCAAAAGCTTGGCTTCAACCTCGCATAATTCAGCTCGCAACAAGTCTGACCTAATTAGGCGCCGGAGGTATAAAGATTAAAACAGTGCCCTGTTTTGCAGAGTGAGGGTTGTTCCTGTGTTGTCCTTTCGAAAATTTTGACTCAAGCGGCAAGTGCTTCTACCCCGACGGTACTAACAGGCTCACCGATGCTCCGAACACGCAGCACATGGTACTCAGATGAAGCAGAGCATCGTGCAGACGTGCCTACAAACCAGCTCAACGACATGTACCAGGTGGTGAATCAACTCAGCATTTCACAACTCCTGGAGCTGGCTGAGTATGTGGCACGCAGATTACGCAATGCGACCAGATTCGGTGGCGTCAGATGTACCATTCCATGTCAGCAGTGTGAGGCCGCGAGCTACTGCGACCCAAACTACGTTGTCCAAACCTGTGCCCACACATCTCACTCACACAACTCCGAGGAGAACCACATTTGGCATGGGCGACATCTATGCTGGTACCACGCAGACTAATCCGTCGATGCCGCGAGCAACACCAAAAAAGACCGCGCCAGCCTTGTGACACTTAAGCCCTACATGTGCCTTCCTTGCAGCAGCTTTGTAAGTTTTTGTGTAAGCCATATACTCTCAAGAACAGTGTCATCCTTCCCCAAAGTGACCACAGCAGCGTGCACAATGCGACGGGGAAGACGCAATATGGAAGGAGACCGCCGGGAAGATGTCCGTGAAGATGGCCAACAGCACGCGGGTCCTACGCAGATTGACACCTTGTATCAGATTGTCAACCAACTCAGCATGGTGCAACTCCTGGAGCTCGCGGAGTACATCATTCGCAAAATCGCAAGAGAGTCGCGCTACATGTTCGGTGGCGTCAACTGTACATGCAATTGTCAACAATGCGAAGCCGAGCACCGTGCCAACCCCGACCTGGCCATTATGCAATGCTCTCACACCTCCCTCTCGCATGGCACCGAAGAACATCACCAACGACAAGGACGGCATCTTTGCTGGTTTCATGAGGATCGTGACTAACGCATGAAGCAGGACAGTGGCCACAAAAGCAGATGAGAGTTGCGTTAAAAACATGTGCAAGTGCATTGCAGCTTTGAACTCCACTACAACTACGTCACAAGTGGAGAGCGTGCCTCGATGCAAGTATTTCGGTTCAATGTTTTTGATGTAACTTTCAGTAGTAGCAAGCAGCCATGCCCAAGCGAAAAGCGGGAGAAGCTGGACTTCCTTGGTACTCCATGCGCAGCCAGTGCTTTCGGATGACAGTGGAAATTCCACCAGATCGCATCACCAGAGACAAACATATGATGCTACACGTGGTGCTTTGTCTCGGAGATACTGTACTGCAAGCGCGAAAGATTTTCTCCTACCGCATCAAACCAAATCACCGGCAGAGTACCAGAAATCCCAGCCTTTTTCTTCGAGCAAAATCGCCGACGACTACATGATTGGGATCCGGTTACTTCTATGGCAACACTGAAGCCAGTGCTCTTCGTGCGAACAACCTCCGACCAAGAAGTGCGACAACAGCAATGAAAAAGAATGCCCGCAGCCCCTCCTATGGAGGTCAGTGTGTGTGGGGAACCCAAACTACAACGGGACAGTGATGTTGCAAAAACGATTTCTTTATGCAGGGGGACACAGCATGTCACTGGGACTGTGTCCAACGAAGCTACCAGTGACATGGGAAGAGAGGACTGATCATCCTCTTGTACCTGCCAAAGAAGTTTGTGACGTCATCTATAGTATAAGCTGTGCAATGGTTCTGCAATTTCATCATCGCTGTACATTGGTGACTCCGAGTATGATTCCGAGTGCAAGTTCAGGAAAAAGGTTCAAGGTGCTCCTTGGCTATTTGGCTATTTTGGTACAGTTTCGCAGCAAGGCAACCAAGACCATTGAAGGCCTCCACAACATTTTCTTTGAAGTTTCTCATCGGAGTCATTGAACTCATTGATGAGTGAGAATTGACCATGAATGAACATTCCACCAGGGAAGCCTGGGTGTTCAAGTGTGTGTGTGTGTGTGTCTCATACTAATAATATATACATATATAGATTTTTTCACATACGTGAAGGTGTTCTTGGGAGGGCTTATGCAGGCTTTTGCTTTGGCGAGGGTTCATGTTAAAGCTGCCAGCTTTGCTCGGTGCCTCGAAATCTGTGCGAGTGATGTGCTCAAGGACCACTTCAGTTGATTTCTGCTAGGATCAGGCACCAGTGGTGTTTCAATGCATCTTTTGCAGTGGCAAGGAACGTAGCTGTTCTCGGTCCCCGGAGGCGGCTGTTTCCTCATGGCAATCGTCACAAAAAAATGATTTGGCAGCATCTCTTGTGCAGGCTGCTCCTCTGGTTCCACCGTGTTGCCCTTAAGTTGCCTTGTGAGCATTTCCAACCCGAGCAGTGCTTCTGCAACGGGCTCATCGAAGATTGCTCGTCTTGGTTGTGCTTTTATCACGGCTGTTCTTGCAGGCCATCACCAGCACTCCCTGGACCCGGGCAGGCCATGAAAACACAGTCTGGTGAAGGCGAAGGAAGGGGATGAGACTGATGCCCTCTCTGGCCCATAACAAGCACCTCCAACCGATCCGGCACCCTTGCGCGGTCTTCCACACCCGCATCCTTCACCTGCAGGCGGCCCAGGTTGATGCACAAGCCACCGAAATTTCCCTTGCAGCACCGGCGAAAGAAAGAGAGCGACACAGAGACAGAGGGAGGGAGAGGGAAAGAGAGAGGGGGAGCTGTTGAGTGGGTGTCTGCGGGTATCTGGGTTATTTGTAACCGTTCATGGCCAGGTAGGTGCCAGCTCGTGCGCTTCTGCGGCAGCAGAACTGGTTGATGAGGAGCCCCACGTGCCCAGACCGAAAACTCCAAGGTGCCGAAACCCTCAACCCCGAAGCCCCCAAACTTCAAATGCTAGATCCCAAACCCTGCATCCCTGAGGGTTTCGAGCCTGGCCAGCTCAGGGTTTACGTGTTTCAGGAATCAGGGCTTAGGGTTTAGAGGTTTTTTCCATGTGACAGTCATCCTGTTCTGCTCTCTGGCCACGATGCGTGCAGAGTGAAGAGTGCCTCCTATTCAGCGGGCTTTGGGGGCTTCTTCCGTACAGCAGTCGCATTCGGATTTCTGGGATTATGTCATACATCCGCAACGGTTCCACCAAGAAGTCTTTGAAACCAGCACATCTCGAACACTCTCACCAGGCATACACACACCTGAACCTGCAAGTGTTCGACGTGTTGATGTTCATTTGGGCCACCAGGCTTTGTTCCGAACCCGTTTTTTATTAGCTTGGACGCCACTAGGTTTTGCTGCTAGAACAGAGAACAGCTAGAATGAGAGGGTGGCGCTGCTGTAAAGTGTGGAGGTAAGCCTTCCGACGACGGCTGATGCGCCGCTCATGGCAGAGGCGCATTTCGCATCGCATTGGATTGCTAAGATTTGCGTTGTCTTGGCCTTTCTTGGCACCGAGATGCGCTGTGCCCTTGTCTTGGATTTGAACTGGTGCCCCAGCATCCAGAAACATGCCTTGGCTTGGTCTCGATGTGGTGCTGCGGTGCACCCGTGCTACGGTTCACAGAGCCTTCACTTCAGCATGGAGCATCATGAGACGAATCATCTATGCAGAAGCGTTTACATCTGAGTGTGTCTTGAACCGGAGTTCCTGGAAGTTAGCTCTCAATCATCCGTCTGCTTGGGACACAATGGCTTTTCTGACGCTTGCGGGGATCTGCGAATGCTTCGGTTAGAAAGGGAGAGGAGGGTATAGAGCATCAACTACCATTACCATCCAGGAGGGTGGCCGGGGAACGGGGCGTAGAGGAAGCAAACATTCTGCCAAGTCTTGAAGCATCCGCTAAACCCTCTCCAGGAGCCAGTGGTGGGCCAGGATGGCGAGTGCAAAGGAGCTCCCGATCCACAGACGCCTATGCGTCGGACACCGCTGGCGCTTCCGGCTAGTAGCGAGAAGTTTGCAGAGCCTGTGCTAGGTTGTTTGTTTCCGCAGTTGTAAACGACAGGTCTCAGGTATGCCTTCAGCTCGATGGAGTCTTACAGGTGATGAGCGTGTGGATGTTTCTTCAGAGCCAGCTCTGCACGTCTTGGTTGCGATTGTTCGCGTTGCTTGACTCAGTGGTCCCCGCTCGAGTGGTTTCGAAAACTAAGCGAAGGTGCAAAGCTAAACGGCAATCTGGTGTTAAACCTCATTTTTTACCCGGAACATCCCAACTGCTTGTCCTGCATCTCTCGCGTCAGGTCTTGCCTTCTCCTGGAATTGACCCAGAAGCAAGGCAAACTGCTTTGGCGAAAATGCTGCTCAGACCACAGGGCAGAGATACCCATACAACTAGTGTTTTGGACGTTTAGCTTTTCTCTCGGGAGCAGGTTTCGTGGCTGGTGCATGATTTAACTTGGGCCCAGACCGAAAAAGCTCGGTTTTCATACTTGGCTTACGTGCTGTAGCTGTAAAGGTTCATTCATCTGCCACAGGATTTGGGTTTTGTCGACCTTCTAGCCACGAGTCGCCTGTCATGCGGCTCAGACACAGCCTTTCTTATCCGTGACACTCAATTATCGGTTCTGCGGAATGGTGCTATGTTGGAGGGACGCTGCCCAAAGCCATGAAATATGTGCACTAGTGTTTCACCAACATGATCATGAGTATGACTTGTTCAGTTGTGCCGCCACTAGTATTTCCATCGTCATGCCTACAACCAGTAGTGACTTCATCATCAACATAGTTGAGGACGTCAGCAAGCGTGGTGCACGTGTCATAATCTCTCTGTTTGTGTGATCGTGATCTGCTTCATGACGTTGCATTCTCGTGTGCAGATTCTAGGAAATGTTTTCGGGATGAACACGGTAGTCTGTCTTTTAACTGTTTTGCGGAGTTTTGCGAATCAACAGACAGTCGATCGGCAATTGAGGATGCTATTGAGGCCGACCGGAGTGAAACTGCTGCCTGATCTTGCATGTTAGGCTTGCAAATGCAAATGTCATTGTAAGAAAAGTGCAGTCACGTCATTGTACGGCTTTGACACTTTCGCCGTTTTGAAGGTATGCCTGTGACGCACTATCGTGTTTATGATGCAAGCACATAAGCCTACCATGCCCAAGCCAAAATCGTGTCGTGTTTCCGGCTGCACTGTGCTGCATGCTTTTTCACGCACATGTACACATGCTACACCATCCCGCCATGCGCAGTTTCCATCAATGTTCGTCAAGGTTGGCTTGCGGCAGCGAGCCAGCTTTTGCCATGAGGTGTTTCATGAAAGCTAGTGAGCAGCCGGGGTTCGATTAATTTCCTCCGTTCCAGCAACTGTTTTTTGCGGTTGTGCGTTTTGCCCGAGGAGTCCGGGAGACAAAGCCAGAGGGCCCGGGAGATCCCTGCCGAACAAGTCTCTTGATGTTCGTATATCGTATGCAATGTATGCACCAAACCCCCGTTTCTGATGTCGCTGTGTAGTCTCGGAGCCTCTCTCTCGCATGATGGACATATGTGAAGCCTTGCCTGCCTGCTCCGAGAGTGAGAGTCGAAATGCCCTGCCCTCGCCTAGTTTGTCCGAGACGTGAAAGCTGCGAGACATGCATCACTGCACCCGTGGCTTTGTGAGGCACAGGGCCCAGTCGGAAGAATGCTAGGGTCAGAAGTATGATTGTCATGTCTGCGGGAGTTTGGGCCCAGATCCCCAGTTAGACGAACAGCCCGTCTGCCTCGAGCCATGCAGCAGCGGTTGGCTTTTACGTTCTTGGCATTGCACTCAGAACATCGGTTCTGGGGTGCGGAATCCGACTGCGCTTGCACTCCTGGTCCAATTGCCCTGCTGATGGCTGGTCCAAGTGTTGGGCATGTTGGGCCTCCGGTTACAGGGGCTGGATAGTCTGTGCGTTTGATGTTCTTGCACGTTGGTGTCGTGCTCCAGGTAGGTCGCTGCACAAACAAAACTTCAACCCTTCTCAGCCCCAGAAGCCCGTTTCACCACTGGGCTTGATATGCACTGCTCCTGGAATCGACACCTTGCATGTTGGCCTGGGGTGCTGGAAGCTGTTTGCATACAGGTTCTTATCATTGCAGTGGGCTCCTATAGTGGAGTTTCTACCTCGTAAACCCTAAATGAACCTTATTGGCAGATATTGGCAGAAGCGAATCAGTGCTATTGTGGCTTCTTAACTGAACTGGAGGTGTGTGCCGCGGCAAAGTGGCCCTTGCGCGGGCAGCCGAACCATGTGCCTTTCCTGAGCTTTTATAAAGCTGCATATTTCGAGACTGCTCTCGGTTTCAAGCTTTCCTTGTCGTGGCCCTGTGGCCCTTAATTCTGCAGTGCTGACAACGCTGGTTTATGGTCCTGCACCGCGCATGCCCGCAGGCGCGGTTGGCTTATGGCACGTGGTGAGTTCCAGTATCGACGGTTCAGCTCAGGTGGATGCGGTCCCGGCCTCTTTCGATTGCGAGATGCGCAAAATGGCCTATGAGTATGGGAAGAAGCTGCTCGACACCGAACCTGGCGCACTTCGGAGTTAAAGTTAGCCCTGTTCGGTTTCAGCTTTTTCTTGCTGGAGTTGACGACGATGTTTATCGACTCTCTTCCTTCGATCATTAAGCTTCTTTTTTTCTATCGCCCTAGGCCCAATGCTGCCTGCTGTATGTGTGCGTGTGGGTGGGTGGGGACGTTTCGCGAGAGCTGATGCTCGGATAAGTACTGTACCTCGTCGCATCGGCAATCCGTATTGCACAACAGCTGCTTGCAGAGGTGCAAGCAGTTCTGCCGATCTCATTCTAGGATTCGGGGGCCTCTAGCAATTCATGTGTAAACCACTATGCCCTGCAGTATGAGCCTCGAGTCCTGGAGGAGGGGAGCTCGAAACAGGCATGCTTCAGAGTCCTGGAATCGAATCAGTTTAAAGAATGCACTACAGAGCCCACAACGCCAGAGGCTTATTCCGCGTATGGGCGCTTTTGAGCCTCGGCACGAGAATCTCCTTCGGAGTCTCATTGTTCGTTTTGGCAGTCTTAGTCAGTATTGATGCTGGTATGCTGAGATTCCGGAGGATGATCGGTTTTCGGTGTTACAACAAACATCTTACCGTGCATGAGCGCTTGCATAGGAGTCAATGCTTCAAAGGTGTTTGTTGCGGGGATGTCAACTGGGGCGCTGAAGCCTTCTGTTCGAATTCGAAGAAGAGAGAGAGAGAGAGAGAGAGAGAGAGAGAGAGAGAGAGAGAGAGACATCGTAACCGAAGCAGGATATCGGTACCCGCTAGAGCCATGCAGCTTTCAACTCAGAGGCAGCATGACATGGTACCTCTGCCAGGAGAGCCTGTATTATGCGCTGGACCTGGACAGTGCCGACTGCCACGTTGCCCCCAAAGGCACTTTCTGTGGACAGGAATTTAACGGCTTTGCGTTGTCGTACTGTGAACCACCGCTGCCAGGCAAGCCTTTCACCGGCCCCGAGACGAAGCTGCCAAAGAAGGCTGTTTTCGTCGCGGTCGATGGGAGGCCATCGCCTTACTGTGAATCCAGCTACTCTGATCTACTTTGCTCGCATGAATGAACGGTCCTCCTCCCCGCCACCGCAGGGATGATGGAGATGGGACAGAGGCCCAGCCATGGAAGTCCCTCCAGGCAGGGATCCTTGGGTGTTTAGCGGTGAAGTAGCTGGCTACATGACCTTTGCCAGGCTGCGTCTTCTCACATGCTGTGGGGACTTTCAGTGTTTAAGGATGTGGCCGTCTGGGTTGAAGATCGTGTGTGCTATAGCACACCTACCAGAAACTCCACTCTGGCGGGTCTGATTGGAGTGTCGGAAGAGACGTCTTGCGACTTGATGGGCGCTGTGGGGAGAATTGGAGCTCAACAGCCACCTCTCAAAGCTCTTGACACCCGAAGGTCTGGCCAGGGAATGTAGAAGAGACCCCAAGCTTCGCCATTGTGTGAAGGTGGCTGCCGATGCCGCAGCTCAACGAGGCTGGCAGATGCTATACGGTCCCCCCGAACGATCCGACTTCGCAATGACACAATTGAAAGTCATCTGTGACCGAATGTCCGAGTAGATTCCAGAAAGCGGCCCATGCAAAGCCCCGTCAGGTGCGGCGTTAGTTCTGCGGGCAGGCACGCACTTTCTGGCGCCTGGCCCCAATTTCAATTCCAACGGCGCTGCAAGCAGAGGCACACACTTGTATTGCACAGCCGAAATCCAGGCATGTGCACCGTAAACTCCAAGACCGCAAAGGCAGGATAAGCAAAGCTCCGGACAGTCTTCACCGCCGACACTTTCAGGTCTCTTTGAGTCCAGTTTTTTGTCTAGTAGTGACCCTACCACACACAATGATCCGAAGATGCCTGTTTCGTGCACTTATTTTGCGCTTGCAT